AAAAAAAAAACACAAAACCTATTTTGTCGTTTTAACACTTTGGCAGTGGCTAAAATGAAACTGCCTAGGAAATTCTCCCATGAAAACTGAGATCACAGGGCCTAAGAAGAGCTACAAAGAAAGGTACTGGGCACAATGCACATGGCATGTTAAGAGAGGGAAACAGGTGTGGTCTTTCTCCAAGAACCGAGGGGGTGTTAGTACGAGTATGAGAGGGGCTTAGTTAGTCAATCAGGTGTTCATCCAGACACTAGAAATATAAGACAAGTAGTTTTATTTAGATTTAGTTCATTAAAAATCCAAAGGGTAACACACATAAAAGACGGCTCTTATACTCCATCAGTAGGGTTGTTGGAACTCAGGAAGGCAGAGAGAACCGTTAAGAGAAAGAGCAAAGCAGGAAGTATTACCCCTTTAGAAGCCTCAGGAGGTGGTCTGTGGAGGCCAGACATAGAAGCATGGCACAAGGGAGCATAAGAGAAATGCATGAGGCTTCGAGGGGTTTTGGTATCATGTCCCTCAGAGAAAGGTAGGTGTCATTTCCCAAAGACCACTGTGAAAACTAGCTAATCTCTTCCTCTTTTTCCCTTTTCCTACTGTGGTGGCTTCTGGGTAGCTGTGATGTGCAAGCTATCTCACTGGTATTTCAAATTCCTGCAGGGACATGCCGGTTGAAGAGGTTTCAGTGGAGCATCCAGGAGAACGGACAATGACAAAGAAATCGCCTGCCCACGTAGAAGGAAGTAGCTGCTGAAATTGTATGTATAGCTGCGAAGCATGATCACGCAGTGAAGGCATAATGACAGGAAGCACGACATTTGGGAAGACAGTCTCTGAGGAGGGGCTGCATTCTCAAAGTAGAGTCCACCCACTGTGATGCGTAAGGAATACAGCCTAAAGTACTGACATTTTCCGAATCTTCATTTGCTGAGGGGCATGACGCAATGCATAAGAAACAGCTGTAAAAACCTACTAAAAAAAAAGAAATTAGAATGTGCTAAGTGTGAATCAAGGAAATTGGGAGTCTTCAAATATAACATGGAACACATAAAGATCCATATCATCAGCAACATTGAGCACAAACGTTCTGATACTGGCCATTTTGAATCAGAAAAGCATGTGATACCACACTGGGAAGAGCACAATCAGGAGGAATGTCAAGGCATTCATTCTCACAAAGAACGCTTCAAAATCTATCATGAAATACAATGCTGTCTGTGATAGGATTACATCTATCCATCCACCTTCATAAGATATCCATGTACACAACTATTACAAATTTATTTAATAACCACTAAAACTAGTAAAGCAAAAGTTGAAACATTCGACAGACATCTTCAGTCAGAAATCGATGAAACATGCAATCAACATGAATTGATAATTACTGCGGATTGGAATGGAAGTGTTGGGAAAAAGGGGAAGGGACAGTAGTTTGAAAATACGGGTTTGGTGGCAGAAAAAGCTGGAGATTACAGGATAGAATTTTGCAAAAGCAAAACGTCTTAGACGATACCTTTTTTCAATAGCAAATACACAATGATACACCTGGACTGCTGCAAATAGGATGCACAAGGAACAAAACCAACACGTGTGTGTGCAGAGATAATGGAGAAGTTCTGTTCGGGGACTGACTGTGGAACAGATCATCAATTGTTCATATGTGAGTTCAGGATAAAGCTGAAGAAAATTCAAACAAGCCCATGGAAGAAAAATAAGACCTTGAGTCTTTCCCATCTGAATTTTGAGAACATCTCAAATAGATTTGACACGCTGGACACTAAAGACAGAAGACCCGATGAGCTGTGGGAGGGTATTAAAACCATCCTTCATGAAGGCAGCAAAAGGTCAATAAGAAGAAATGAGAGAAAAAGAGATCAAAATGGAAGTCAGAAGAGACTAGAAAACATGTTCTTAATCGCAGAATAGCTAAAGCAAATGGAACAAAGTATGAAGTCAAGGGGGTGGATGAAACATTTCAAAGGCGGTTGAATAAGCAAATGTGGTGAAGAAAGCTGATGGTGCCCGGCTATCAAAAGATA